TTGCACAAGTCCAGGTAGATGACATCAGTGGTTTTAGCCTTGTCCACCAATGTTGTAAACCCTGTCATGAAAGACCACCAGATTGGTCAGGCACGATTTGCCCTCGGTGAAGCCATGTTGGCTGTCACAAATCACCTCCTCAATTCCCATGTGCCTTAGCACAGTTCCCAGGAGGATCTGCTCCATGATCTGGCCTGACACTGAGGTGAGACTGACAGTGTGAGTAGTCAGGGAAGATTATTCCATATTTAGCTGCTGTCATTCATCATCTTGAACTCCATGAAACATCCTGGAGAGCAAGGGAGAAGAGAACCTTCACCCCAAGTAACATTTTCATCCTGCCTCTGCTCATTTCAATCAGATAGTAATTAGCATTTTCTAAATTGCTGGAGTATTATAAAACATCTTCTATCAGAAATCCTGGAGCGAGTGGGTGGGGCCCCTTTACACCTCATTTCCCTGCTTTATTCAGAATGGATGTTCAAATTGAGCTTTCAGCTGAAAGCTACAAAGAAGGCCCATTATTCTGTGCAGGGAATATTGTTCTGCTTTGTAGCTGAAGAAAAATACACAACTAAGTGGAGAGGCTGAATGAGACTGAGGTGGATTCTTACTCTGAGTTCATTCAGACAAGCTCCCCTTGAAGCCCAGGGATGTTTTCTAAAATGAGATAGATGCTCAGCACCTATTTGAACCAGTTCTTCATCAGGTTGCTGATAAAGAAGGGAGCTGAGAGTGCTGTCTAATCAAGGGGAGAACAGGGTTTGGGGTGTTCTTGATCCTCTTATGCAATTAGTTAACATCTTGCACACTTGAGATCCCCACTTTTCAGCACCTACTCTGAGCTGTTATGCTCCCCAGCTGATTAAAGGTCTAATGTTGCTTTTTTTAAGGTAAAGATAACGAAGGGAAGTCACAGAATCACAGAATGTCGGGGATTGGAAGGGACCTCGAAAGATCATCCAGTCCAACCCCCCTGCCAGAGCAGGAACCTCAATGAGATCACACAGGAAGGCGTCCAGGCGGGTCTTGAATGTCTCCAGAGAAGGAGACTCCACACCCTCCCTGGGCAGCCTGTCCCAGGGCTCTGTCACCCTCACTGTAAAGTAGTTTCTTCTCAAGTTTAAGCAGAACCTCCTGTGCTCCAGCTCACACCCATTGCCCCTTGTCCTGCCATTGGGCATCACTGAGAAGAGCCTGGCTCCATCCTCCTGACATTCGCCCTTTACATATTTATAAACATTAATGAGGTCTCCCCTCAGTCTCCTCTTCTCCAAGCTAAAGAGCCGCAGCTCCCTCAGCCTTTCCTCAGCAGGGAGATGCTCCACTCCCTTCATCATCTTGGTGGCTCTGTGCTGGACTCTCTCCAGCAGTTCCCTGTCCTTCCTGAACTGTGGGGCCCAGAACTGGACACAATATTCCAGCTGTGGCTTCACCAGGGCAGAGTAGAGGGGGAGGAGTCACACAGGTGCCCTTTATATTCTTTGTCACATAGCAGAGTGGACTTAAAGAGACTGTCCCTGGAGAGGGAGCATGGAGGTGTAGCTACTCCCTTCTTACTCAGCCGCTTGCTCAGCTGTGCAGGTCAGAGCCACCATACCCTGGACATACTATTCCTGGGGAGGACTTGCAGAGATGTGGGTGAAGGTGCAGGCAAGCCCTTCTCAACATGTTCATCTCCCGGGTCTAGGGAGATCTGTGCTGTTGGCTGTGGGAGAACCTCTCAGGTTCCTGCCATGGGGCAGGTGATCCTCTGCCCAGCCACACTGCTTTCGCCAACGCATAGCGAGAACCAGAGCTGTGCAAACCTCCTCCTGGCTTCAGTCACAGAAAGGACGTGCAGCTTCCTCTGTGATAGCTGAGCTTCAACCTCTTCATCCATGAGCACACAGCTCTTCATCCCTCTGCTGCGCTGCTCTCCCGGAACATTGATGCTCATGCTGCTGGGAACAGGCTTCCATGGCTGCCCAGGCTTCCCTGGGTGCCTGCCTGCTGAGACAGCACTCCCAGCACCGTTCAGAGTTCTTTGGAGACCAGTTCCCTTTGTTCATTTGCGGGAACTCAACGATGGACTCTGCCACACGATCAATATGATCAAGCAAGAAGCCATTTATTTGTTCTAATACAGTTATATTTATACCCCAAAACTAATGAAATCACCCACACCCGTTACCATGTTCTTGGCTCTTCACTCGCAGCACGAGCAGTTCACATGCCCCTAATTGGCTGATGGACTTTGCCTGCATCCCTTCCTGTTTGCTTGCCAGGGTGCATCTTTTGGATACATTTGAAGGTTCCTTTCTCAGGCCTTGTTGATGCAGGTGCTGCTCATATCTCCAGACATGTATCCCTTCAGTTCCCACAGTTCTTTCAGGGTGTGCCAATACACCTTCTCACACTCCCCACAATTCCCCTCTTTTCTTTTTAGAAACAGAAAAACCTAAAGCTTAACTTACAACTTATCAGTACTTAACAAAAACACAAACCATAAACTTAAAGCTTAACTTATAACTTATCAGAATTTAACAAAAACAAAAGCCATAAACTTAAAGCCTAACTTAGCAGTTATAGAAATGCTTATATGCTCTTAAACTGATAATACATACATAAACAATTTTTCCTTAGTAAAAACTATCGTTACTAATTGCTTATATACTCTTAAACTGATAACACGTTTTTATTAGTTAAAAGCCATCGTTACACACGCTTGGTTATAACACTTGATTGGGTAAATCCACCTGTTCATGAGGCATTCTTTTTACTTCTGACTAATTATCTTAGGAATTTCTTATCTTGTTTCTCTATTCTACTTTTTCACTTAAATTCAGGAATTAATTGCTCAAGGCCGAAGCTGCCTGCAGCTTGGACTCTTAAAGGGCCAACATTCATTTTCATTGATTAAATGACTCAGGCTTCCAGCCCTCCACCTCCAACATCACGGTTCTGCCTGCTCATTTGTAGATATTCAAACTTTAATTGTCACCTGGAAGTTGGGGAAGGAAGGGCTCCTTGCTGTGCTGGCTCTAAAGGGCTGCACTGGATTTTTTTTTGCAAGTGTTTGGTCTCCTCTGCTTGGATTTTGGGCAGTTTCTCAGAACCCAGCTCTGATGTGCCATCAGCAACCCCACTGCAGCAGCACACGGCGGGGCTGGTTCTGTGCAGAGGGTGACGGCAGCTGAAGCAGAGCCCTTCTGGGATAACCCTGCTGTGCCAGCTCAAAGAAATACTGCCCCAAGGAAAACATTTGTACTCGAGGGGAAGGATGGATTTTAGTTCTTCCTGGTACAGTCCTCCTCTGCAGGAGCCTTGCTTACGGCCATGATCCCAATCCCACTGCTGGCACGCTCGCCCTGTGTGGTGCCTCTCTCCATCTCTCTGGTGTGGGATGTGGGGCATGTGCAGGTGATGGGGTGCTGGGTGAGTGCATGTGTCCTTTACCTTCCTGGCTGTCAGTATGTGTTCCTGCACAAAACCTCTTTGAGTTGGAAAAGAAAATATTAATTCAGAAAATCTGCACCTGAATTTGCCAATGAATTTGCAATGCAAAGCCACTAACTTAGAAAATTGGTGAATCACAGAATGGTCGGGGTTGGAAGGGA